TGTTACCCCTCTTAGGTCATTTCACAGCCTCGTACCCAGGCCTGTTCGCGCTATCCGAGTGAACAGAGGAGGCTTGGAACCGAGCGCGATAGCGATAGTCCTGGGTGAATTTTCCCGACAAGCTTGACAGGTGACATCACATCCGAAATCGCCGAGGACGACTGGGAACGAGGCTGGTCATTTCACAGACTGCAATCTAAGATTTCCCCCAACCTTTCTTGTATGTTAACTAGGGAAGTCCCTACTCTTTCATATACCAGAAGAAGGTACCCCTTGGGGTAGACCATTATTGGGAGTACTCTCCCTCAACACTCCAAACTGACATTGAAATCTTACATTTACAAAAAAATGATTTTCACACATTTTAGGCTACAGAATTTCTGTAAATTTGTCCAGGGGCTCCCCTCATAAAGCCTACAAGGGTTTATTTAACAATTAATTTAACAATTAATTTAACAATATAGCCCAAATGGGCTATAAGTCAATAGCAGCCCTTGTGGGCTATTGACTCAGAGGTAATGAGGACAAGAGGAATAACATTATAGTTTTAGTAAAATCCAACTAGTTGGTCAAAAATATCGAGACAAAACAACTTTAGCTAGTTAAAGCTAGACTTTAATCCTTTTTTGCTGCCAAAAAGACGGCGCTTTTCACTACTAGTGGGCTATAACATATAGCCTAGTAGAAGCTCAACCACTCAGAACACAGCATTGATAATAGACCACTAGCTGGATTTTACTAACTACTGAGAGCTCCTGCCCAGGTATAATTATTCCATGACTATTTATATTTTTATTAGTAGTAAGTCTGTGAAAGGGTAAATAAATAAATGACAAATGAGAATTTTGCCTATTGCAGAATCTTTGCAGTTTAACCGTTTGTTGTTGAACTCACTAAGATATTAATGAGGGAGTTCTTGTCATAACAAATAACCATGGAAAGAAAGACTTGTGAAATAATGGTACTGTAGTGATTGTTTGTACAGAGGCTCCTAAATGCATACCACATATTCACTACGTCACCCATTATTGTCAAAAAAAACGAAACAAGTCAATTCGGAATTCATCCACTCTTCAAGATGAATGATAAGAGGCATTGATTTTACAGTTATGGAACTTTGTTTTCAACATAACGATAAATAAAAACAAAGTAAAACAGCAGTTAAGTAAAGCTTAAAATCATTGAGCCACAACAATCTTGGGTTTGACAAACTCAATACAAACACAAGTTGATAGAACATCCTTAAGTTGTACTCGCATTGTTTAAAAAGTGAACTTTTCCTCGCATCACTCAACTGTACCAGAAGGTACATGTAACAAAGAACCGTCATGGACCATTTTCATACATGGTGCCAATTGAATATCTGAATTATTTTGTAATTTCTTATATTTATTACATTCACATATATGTTGTAGTTAATTTTTTTTATCTCACTAGGAAATCTTTCTCTTTTTGTTTGTTTTTGTTTTTGGGTATGGTAAAGTATGCTAATGAAGTTGAAACAAAAGAAAAAGAAAATATATCACCTGAGATAAAAAATAAACTACAACATATATCTGACTGAATTTATGTACACATGGCTTCAGTGAGTGTCTACAGGCCCTCGGCTAAGTATGTCCTAGGTACCAAGACTTTCACCCTCCCCACCCAAGACACTGGGTGAATGTCTGCACCTCCCACTGAGCTCTGCGATTATCATGATAATTACTCTCAGCAGAGGCCTGATTCAGCTGGCTAGGGCAAAATATGAAAAAATCACAAAGCTAGAATGTCTTCTCTACTTTTTCACAGTCAGACAATGCACCTGTTAGCCCTTTTGGGCCTCTTTACCTCCCAAAATGACAGATTCCATACCCCGGGGGTTTCAATAAGCACCAATGACCGACGAAGCGCATCGGTTATTTTACTCAGAGAAGTCAGCTTTTCTCCCCAAAAGAAGAAACAACTAGTGCCACCGATGTCGTAAACAAATAACATATCATAAAATCTCAAAGAAAACGTAAATGCCCACTGGGTTTGGGTGATGCTCTAGTTATGCAAACGCTGTATTTCAGTCAATTCTTCACACGTTTCTTTGGACATTTAGATAGAATTTGTTCTCACTGAAATGCACGTTTGGTTAGTGCTTGTAAATTGTGTGGCTCATAATAACCTGAATGAAAACTACTTTTTCTTGAATCAAAAACACACTCTTTTGTCCTTAATTTAGTCCCCAGAATGCTGGAAATCACATTTTTGGGGCTTTAAAATTTCAAACTTTTATGAGGGAGCATGCCCCCAAATCCCCCTAGAGGTACGGGATTAATGGCCCCTTGCTGATACAGTCGGGTATTCTATTCAAACCTGCTGGCTACTTCAATCATTACTGAAACCCCTGATTCCCTTAGATATGCTTCAACTCGTGAAATCCCTACCCATTCATATACCCGGGGCCTGCAAAAAGTACCCCTTTTGGGCACAGCCTCCCCCTTTGGGCCATTCAAGGGATGATATCCCCATGGTACCCACTTATCTAATGGCTAAAAAAGAGTGGGGTGGCATCAAAAATATTTTTTCTCAGCCCTGCAGGATTAAGTTTGGCCTAAAAATAAAGAAAGGACCAAGGGTCCCCTGGACTCCTCCTCTATGATTCAGTTATGTAATAAGAGGGGGCCTTGATCTTTTCCCCAAAACACCCACTGCTTTGGCCACAACCTTACTGAATTTCATAATTTCATACAGTATAAGGGAAACTCTACCATTTCATTAATTGCAAAATAAACAGCAGTAATGAGTGCCTTTTATTTATGATTAATGATTTCAGTTCAATATAATTGTGTTTGGAAAATTCATGTCATATTATCTGAAAATAAAACTTGTAGTAGCAAAGATTTTTGTAATAAACTTTCTATGATGTACAGTCTACCTTCCACAAATGCGCTCTCACCCTGAATCTGTTCTTGATCAAAAAAATGCCCAATACAATTTTACTGGTAATTAAGAGCTGCCTTTACCATTGCTGGGAAGTTAGGAGTACCAGAACCAGTCACTGGATCCCAGCCAGTGGTAGCATAAAACCCAGTATCCCCAGACAGACATCCGTCATTGTATCCAGAGGTGACATCGTACATAGTTGCAGCATTCTGATACAAAAAGAGGTTCAAGAATCCTAGCGTAGACTTGTTTTTTTGTAACCGTGCATCATTTAGCAATGAAATGATGCCAGCTACTGTCGGAGTAGAAGCCGATGTTCCCATCACACCTGGAACAGGGACCATGTTGTTGACGATCNAGCCCAAATGGGCTATAAGTCAATAGCAGCCCTTGTGGGCTATTGACTCAGAGGTAATGAGGACAAGAGGAATAACATTATAGTTTTAGTAAAATCCAACTAGTTGGTCAAAAATATCGAGACAAAACAACTTTAGCTAGTTAAAGCTAGACTTTAATCCTTTTTTGCTGCCAAAAAGACGGCGCTTTTCACTACTAGTGGGCTATAACATATAGCCTAGTAGAAGCTCAACCACTCAGAACACAGCATTGATAATAGACCACTAGCTGGATTTTACTAACTACTGAGAGCTCCTGCCCAGGTATAATTATTCCATGACTATTTATATTTTTATTAGTAGTAAGTCTGTGAAAGGGTAAATAAATAAATGACAAATGAGAATTTTGCCTATTGCAGAATCTTTGCAGTTTAACCGTTTGTTGTTGAACTCACTAAGATATTAATGAGGGAGTTCTTGTCATAACAAATAGCCATGGAAAGAAAGACTTGTGAAATAATGGTACTGTAGTGATTGTTTGTACAGAGGCTCCTAAATGCATACCACATATTCACTACGTCACCCATTATTGTCAAAAAAAACGAAACAAGTCAATTCGGAATTCATCCACTCTTCAAGATGAATGATAAGAGGCATTGATTTTACAGTTATGGAACTTTGTTTTCAACATAACGATAAATAAAAACAAAGTAAAACAGCAGTTAAGTAAAGCTTAAAATCATTGAGCCACAACAATCTTGGGTTTGACAAACTCAATACAAACACAAGTTGATAGAACATCCTTAAGTTGTACTCGCATTGTTTAAAAAGTGAACTTTTCCTCGCATCACTCAACTGTACCAGAAGGTACATGTAACAAAGAACCGTCATGGACCATTTTCATACATGGTGCCAATTGAATATCTGAATTATTTTGTAATTTCTTATATTTATTACATTCACATATATGTTGTAGTTAATTTTTTTTATCTCACTAGGAAATCTTTCTCTTTTTGTTTGTTTTTGTTTTTGGGTATGGTAAAGTATGCTAATGAAGTTGAAACAAAAGAAAAAGAAAATATATCACCTGAGATAAAAAATAAACTACAACATATATCTGACTGAATTTATGTACACATGGCTTCAGTGAGTGTCTACAGGCCCTCGGCTAAGTATGTCCTAGGTACCAAGACTTTCACCCTCCCCACCCAAGACACTGGGTGAATGTCTGCACCTCCCACTGAGCTCTGCGATTATCATGATAATTACTCTCAGCAGAGGCCTGATTCAGCTGGCTAGGGCAAAATATGAAAAAATCACAAAGCTAGAATGTCTTCTCTACTTTTTCACAGTCAGACAATGCACCTGTTAGCCCTTTTGGGCCTCTTTACCTCCCAAAATGACAGATTCCATACCCCGGGGGTTTCAATAAGCACCAATGACCGACGAAGCGCATCGGTTATTTTACTCAGAGAAGTCAGCTTTTCTCCCCAAAAGAAGAAACAACTAGTGCCACCGATGTCGTAAACAAATAACATATCATAAAATCTCAAAGAAAACGTAAATGCCCACTGGGTTTGGGTGATGCTCTAGTTATGCAAACGCTGTATTTCAGTCAATTCTTCACACGTTTCTTTGGACATTTAGATAGAATTTGTTCTCACTGAAATGCACGTTTGGTTAGTGCTTGTAAATTGTGTGGCTCATAATAACCTGAATGAAAACTACTTTTTCTTGAATCAAAAACACACTCTTTTGTCCTTAATTTAGTCCCCAGAATGCTGGAAATCACATTTTTGGGGCTTTAAAATTTCAAACTTTTATGAGGGAGCATGCCCCCAAATCCCCCTAGAGGTACGGGATTAATGGCCCCTTGCTGATACAGTCGGGTATTCTATTCAAACCTGCTGGCTACTTCAATCATTACTGAAACCCCTGATTCCCTTAGATATGCTTCAACTCGTGAAATCCCTACCCATTCATATACCTGGGGCCTGCAAAAAGTACCCCTTTTGGGCACAGCCTCCCCCTTTGGGCCATTCAAGGGATGATATCCCCATGGTACCCACTTATCTAATGGCTAAAAAAGAGTGGGGTGGCATCAAAAATATTTTTTCTCAGCCCTGCAGGATTAAGTTTGGCCTAAAAATAAAGAAAGGACCAAGGGTCCCCTGGACTCCTCCTCTATGATTCAGTTATGTAATAAGAGGGGGCCTTGATCTTTTCCCCAAAACACCCACTGCTTTGGCCACAACCTTACTGAATTTCATAATTTCATACAGTATAAGGGAAACTCTACCATTTCATTAATTGCAAAATAAACAGCAGTAATGAGTGCCTTTTATTTATGATTAATGATTTCAGTTCAATATAATTGTGTTTGGAAAATTCATGTCATATTATCTGAAAATAAAACTTGTAGTAGCAAAGATTTTTGTAATAAACTTTCTATGATGTACAGTCTACCTTCCACCAATGCGCTCTCACCCTGAATCTGTTCTTGATCAAAAAAATGCCCAATACAATTTTACTGGTAATTAAGAGCTGCCTTTACCATTGCTGGGAAGTTAGGAGTACCAGAACCAGTCACTGGATCCCAGCCAGTGGTAGCATAAAACCCAGTATCCCCAGACAGACATCCGTCATTGTATCCAGAGGTGACATCGTACATAGTTGCAGCATTCTGATACAAAAAGAGGTTCAAGAATCCTAGCGTAGACTTGTTTTTTTGTAACCGTGCATCATTTAGCAATGAAATGATGCCAGCTACTGTCGGAGTAGAAGCCGATGTTCCCATCACACCTGGAACAGGGACCATGTTGTTGACGATCCAGAAGTGGTTACACACAGCTGAGATGTCAGGAAATCCACGGCCGGTTTGGTTGAAATACGATGGGGGTGGGATATGAGGCCCCGATTTCAGGTAGTTTTCAACAACTTCAGTTTGGTACGAAGGACGAGAGAATACATTACTGAATCCTCCACCGCTGATGTCATAGGCATACTCGTCAGACACGGTGAAGGGATCGTCAAAAGCTGTTCCTCCAACAGTGGTAACATATGGAGAAGACGACGGATACATAGGTCGGAATTTCTTTTTTTTGCAACCTGCACCATTGTCACCACTTGCAAATAAGAATGTCAGCCCCCTTACACCAGCTTTTTGGAACTCCACATTGATCCTGTTCATGTAAGCTACATCAAGTGTATCCTCATTGTCACTATAGCTAACACTATGCACCCATGGCACCTCAGAACGATTGCTTACATCCAGAAGCCACTCTAAAAAGGGCTCTTGTGATTCATGGCGACCAGCAGTGCTCCAGAACCACGTTGGTACCATGGCACCAAGACTCATGATGTACTGGGTGTCCAAACTGGCTTCTATACCAGAGCGTCCACTGTCCGGGCCAATAACTTTGGTCATTTTCTCCAGGTGCTTGAAGGAGCTACCAAAGAGGTAGAAAAATTCCTCTAAATCGGTAGGACTGTAGTACTGTTCCAGGAACTGTGCCACTGACTGGCGGTTGTCAGGATGGGTTCCAACAACATCAGACACATTATAGCGCTCTCGTAAAACACTCGGGAAGACACCGATGTGGATTCGATCCCTTATTAACATGCTGTCTAAAAATTCATGTTCAAAAACTTTGGGCGAAGATGGGCCGTTAACAGCTGGAAGGCGAAGTACCCCACCCACAAAGTCAACATGCGGCGTAATACTCTTCGGAACAGAGTAGAGTTGATCCGAACGAACAACGGGCTTGGAAAGTTTGGCGTGCTTAAAACGATAAAATTTTGCGCCAACAAGCATCGCTTCAGCCGATTGGCAAGACATCCGGCAAGTCATGAAATCTTTCGTGAGAATGGAGCTGCAGTCGCTTGAATGGACACCATAACTTCGGAGCCATCTCTGAACGGCCGAAATCGTCGCTTCCGATGGCGCTATCAGCTGTGTTAGGTTAGACAAGGACAGATGCTTTCCATACTCCTCAGATTTCGGATCAGAAACTTCCCAGAAGATACGTTCCAAAGATTCCAAGTTACTTTGCTTGAGAGCGAAGGTCAGAAATATTTCTTCCGACGATCGAAGTCGCTCGAGCTTTTCCCAGCCTTCCACTCGCCAAGCTTCGACATCATGGTTCTTTTCCAGTAGCACGTACTCTTGGGTTGATGGTTTGGCGGAGCAAAGTCCGAAGAAGGTGAGAAAAAATGTGACTAGCACAGACTTTACACCTTCCATCTTGGAGAGTCACCTGAAACTGAAGATAATCATGTGATTGCCCCGGGACTGCCCCGGGAAGGTTCCGGGAAGTCAACGGTATTCAGAAGCTGCGTTTTTCTTGACCAGCGGATTACCAAATCTATTTATCGGTACACTATAGGAATCATATATGAAGTACCTGCCGATATGCCAACCTTCACGCGGTGTTTTTATGGAATATGCACTCACCAAGGGCACCCAACGACAATTTTCGGAAAATTTTCTGTTCGGAAGACGATTTGAAGTCTAGAATTTTCGGATCATTTTTTGAAAAATTTCTTGCTTGCTTGCCTCAGGATTTTCGAACTTCAAAAAAAAAGGTATAATTGCCCATTTTTAACGGATTTTTACCCTAAAAAGGTCACCTAGAATTTTCGGGAGCCTTTTTTTCTGGCTGAAATTTTCGAAAAGGAAAATTTCGATCCCTATAATTTTCGGATCACTATACTTTCAGCTAGGAAATCCGAACAGATGAAAAATTTTTAGAGGATAAAAATAAGCCTTTATCTACCGTTTAAATACTAAAGTACGTTCAACAATGCTATGTTTATGTGGTTTTGAACTATATTCTCGTTGGGTGCCCCTGACTCACGGCGCAGAGAAGTTGTTTTTGACCTTGATTGTAGTTAAATTTTAACAGTTGATAGAGGGAATAGCCTTTCTTTACTGTAGAACATATTATGAACTTGACGATCGTGTAATACAAATCTGGTACCATATTATCCAATGCTCGGCGCAATGAGAAAGAACGTCGCGTGAAGGACGAAGCATTCGGAAAACGAAGCCTTCCGAGTGAGGGGCGCTGTTATGTTCGTCCGCAGTCATTATCTTCGGCGGTTTTATTTTCAGGATCATTCGATAATACTTTACAGTGAAACCTTTCCTTTGCAGGGGCGGATCTAGGGGGAGGGTGCAGGGGGTGCGCACCCCCCCCCCCTGAGATGACCTGCGGTTTTCTAATGCAACTGGTATTCTGCAAAACAGAAAAAAAAACTATGTGGTTTATTGGTGTTGAAGTAGAGCAAGAGACGAGTGCACCCCTTCCTACAAAAAATCCTGGATCCGCCCCTGCTTTGGGACACCTCCTCCATTCAAGGGATTCCTTCATTCAGGGAACACATGATTTGGTCCCGCAAAATTTTTTATTGCTGGTTTTCACATGATGTCACTAAAATTCAAACTACAAAACTATCGATCTTACGGAGATTTTACTTTCACGATGTATTAGAGCAGCTGAAAACTAATTTTCATACACATTTTCTCTTCAAAAGGGTTCTTGGTTTTGTGATAGAGTACGCTTGAATTTCTAAGCTTTTGCGTGACGCGGCATTTACATGACGGCCAAGAGAGCTGTTATGTAGGTTGAAAAAAATGACTTATTTCAGGGAATTTTGCTATCTAAACAGTTCATGTATTAGAAAAAGTATTACTTTCATGTTTATGAGTTCTTCGAAGAATAAATTCACGCTTTTATTTGTAGCTGGCAAAACTCGGTAACAGATGTTTCTGTTGGTTTCCGTCCGCCATGTTGCTGCTCATCCGGATGGGCATCACCAGCATGGTCTCTCCAAACAAATCTCTATATATTTGGGTAAAACGTTTCTTCGAATATCTCATATACGAAATATTCCGCTGACCTGAAATTTGGCGAGGGTCTTTGCATATAATATATTATACCTCCTTTCATTTCCCAGATTCTAGACTTTATCTATTGTACGGTTTTGATTTTTATTTTGATCAATATTGAATGGCGTGACACTGAAAACCAGCAATACTATAATCTTTTATTTTGTCAGTGTCACCTCTATTTGAGGGACACCTCTATTCAGGGAAAAGGGACTCTTTTTCTAGTTTCCGAAACCTGGGTTTAACCTCCATTCAGGGGATTCCTTAGCACTCAAAAACGGTGTTTCTGATCACAAAAAGCGTTGATAACTTTAGGTGTGCACTAGTCACAATGACTTCAGCTTTCATTGAAATGAACTATACCGTAAAAGACCCAATAAACGCTAGCATGCGCCGTAGTCGATACTGAACCGTGGTTAAGTCCGTCTGCGAAACAGTATCGAAACACTGGCCGAGCGGAGATTAAATTGATTGCGAAGCAGGCTAATAAACGCCCACTCCCAAATACACCCCTCTTATCCACTGAATCAACAACCCGTCTACGCTGTTAAAATGCAGTTGTACTAGACGCCCCCTTGTCCAAAATACTAGGAATAATCAAGCAAAAGGGGCAAAATCATTCAATTCATTCAGTTTTTTGGTTGTGGATAAACAAGGTCTTGCGTATTTCATCTTGCTCAATGTCAAGTTCAAAGTAGAGATAGACTAACGATGGCAACATAATAACCCTGAGCGAGGATTCTCTGACATCAATATTGGGATTTGAAAGAGCGATATGGATCTCTAGACGGCCTAGGGCCAAGGTTGACCATAAAGAACTAAGCGTTCGTCCTGTGCCATTGTGACATTTTACAGAAAAACACTGACAGGCAACTCAAATTTACTAATCGTGCTGAAAACTAATAAGTCTTGTTATGCTTTCCTTAGCCCTATAAAAGCAAATCTCTTGCAAAAGGGGCAGATCCAGAAAATTTAGAAAGGGGTGGCCGAGACACTTGCCAGCTATCAAGATACTTTTTAATTTTCTGAGAATTCTAGACAAAATAATACAAAATTTCCAAGAAAAAGGGGTGGCCGCGGGCCGCTCGACCCACCCCTAAACAGAAAATCTAAAAAGCTAAAATCTGCCCCTAGGCAAGAAACTTAAACGTAGAGAGCAAAAACATCACAGCACACTCTTCCACCATTGTCGCTTTCGCCCCAATCCATCAAGTCTTCGCCATACCACACACGTAACTGCTGAAGGTAAGAGATCCAGTGAGGATGAGAGAAAACTGACAAGACAAGCTCTGGGACCATGAATTGTACCCTATTATATGGTGCCATTTGCCTTCACCTCCGTGCGTGCTTGATAATAACTGGTTTGGCGGGAAAAGAATGCGGTTGGTTGACGTTGTTATGACTACGTTAACCTTATGTTGCACCTGAGAATAACCACAGCCCCAGTAAGTCCAATTGTCAACACCCACTGATGTCTTGCAGGACACGTAGCCATATAGACGGACCAGCTTCACAGCGGCTAATCTTCCAGAGGATGGCATGTAAAACCTTCCAAACTGGTGATTTCTGGCACCAAAACACACGGGAGAGGAGTTAACCTTGCGCCAACGACCTGAAAGTTCAAACACAGTGTACTGTAACTCCTCTAACTCTGTAACTCCCCCCTCTCAAATAAACCCCCTCTAACAAGCCCGCTTTTCCGGAGGAAGGAAGTTATTAAGCCCCCCTCCCCTCCACCTTTATCCCTAAATGATAAACCGTATCACTACATATGCACTGATCCACTATCATCAGCATGATTTATTTATGTGTTGGAACTTCAAGTTTGTTTTTGATCTTCGGCTATACGACCTCTTGCTTAATTGGCCTGTGCTTTTCCACGTTACATTCTAGATTTTATGGAGAATTGATACTTTATAATCTTCGCTAAAGTAAATAAGCCCCCCCCCCCCCCTAAAAAAAAAACCCCATTTTTTTTTTTAATCCCTCCCCCCCCCTACTAACACCTTCTCTTTCATTTTTCACTCTTTTTTTTTTTTTT